AATAAAAGAAGTTGCATGAATGAAAGTAAGAGAGAAAGGAATCTTCTGTTTCGCAGTCAATGTACTTCACTGATCCTTCTCCTCCAGTAATCTAATTTTGGGTCAAATTAAGTTGTTCAGTCGTCATCTTAGCTGAGAATGGTTGTTTGTAATTGATTCATTCTATTTGTGGCCCCCTTTCAGTGCAACATCTTATTAGAAGTGATTTGTCGAACACATTGAGAATATGACAAGAATCTAATGTACCAACCGAGACATCGAATTGTGCAGCTATTTTAAAGTGCCACAGGATCAGCACTACGACGTTTGACGACAAATGTGGTCTTCGTATATCATCGGTTGCTGTGTTGTTAATTTGCTCTACTAGTCTATACGAAAACCCTTTGTATGTGCTGCCAGTCATATGCAAAAGATGCAACATGTTCTAGTTCATGTTCATTAACATAGAATCTTTGAGCATTGAAGAGGCCGGTTAAGAAAAATTAAACTAGTAGCTCGAAAAAGTTCGCCGAGTGTTTGGAAATTAAAAACTACATACATTAGGGGATGAGAGAAGCACAGGCAACAGGTTTGAGCATTTCTGTTGGTTTGATTCTTGATTTTTGCGCAGTCGTTTGTGTTCTCTCCTCATTAACGCGTGATTCATATTTCTATTTTTTTGTGCAGGTCACTCAAACTTTGAGATTTCCAACACTTAACTTGGTTTGCACTTAAACGAGACAATCTTTTGACAATGATCACAAGCAATACGGTGTATTGTGCGGAGGATTTCAGATACCATTTCGTTATACTGCTCTTCTCCAAAACTGTAATATTGAGGCAAAGGGACAAAATATCCATGGTTCTTTTTACTCCATTTCGCTGATTTCTGAGTTCAACTCCTAATAGCTTCATTTTCGAAGAAAAACAACTGAAATTAGCGAATGGAGGTGACATTGAGAGGACGACAGAAATATCGTCATAGTGGCACTGAATCAACAACGAGGGTTGGAACAGTGAAGCACTATTAGCCGTGAGGCGTTCTCAACGTAATTGGTTCGAGTAGATTCACTTTTAGTTGATTCTCATAATCACAATTCCTCTTTTCAACAAACAAGTCGAATCACTCTTGAAGAGCATTATATGTGTAACTGCAATAAAACAAGTTCGCTGATATCCACCAACGAATCGGAACATTATTACCAGTTTTATTGGACTATCAGATTTGCGAATGTTGAATTAATTTTGTGTAATTCTTGCACCCATTTCCGCATATTTCTGTCACCATCTGCTATCTTCTTCCCTCTGTTGTTTTATCAACAGTCAGTATTACTACTAGCTCATTCATTCCCAACTTGTTAAAAAAAGAGAACCAGCAACAGACAAGTGAAATTGGATTGAACTCGACAACGGAAGGCGCAACGCAGTTCGCTAAAGTGAGAAAATCAACTGACATAGTCAAAATGATCGCCTTAGGGCAAAGATATGTTTTGATATGACGTATTCTTCTTGTCGTTTTCTAAGTGTACGTTCCGGGAGTTGTGAAAACACCGACTGAATACAAGAGATGAATACAAGAGCATGAGACTTGATCGGAAAGGAGGGCCGATATGCAGATTAGAAACGTATAAAAGCAATCCAACAGATAAATATTTTTAGAGCACAAAATCAAGACCAAAGTGATCGTTGTACTGTTGTTTGCACTACGTTAATAATTTTGCAAAAGCAGCACTTCGGCGAGAGGTGATCATTCGAAAATGTCCAAAACATTACTCATTATTGCCACTGTGTTTGGCATCTGTTCGGCTCATCCACGTCAGTTTTATTCTTTTCAGTTTTCTGTAATTCCCGTTCGAAGTTTCAAACCAGCATTTTTCAAAATTTTTCAGAAAGGATCTAATTGTACTACGACAGAAATTCCAGTATGACCAAAAATTTGTAAGAAGCATTCGCTTCTCATGGAAATGTTTCGCAGAAAACATGACATCATTTATCCACTTTTGAAAAGAATATTTCTCAAATAATTGATAATTAAAAACCGATTCACTCACACCAGCAGTATGACAAATCTCGTGACCAGTTCCGTTTGATATTCTTCAGATAAGCCTGCCTTGCTCATGAGCCCATCACTTTTTCTTTAATCATGAAAATTTCGGTCGAAGAGCATGGCACATGCACCTTCAATTTTCTTACCGAAGTCTTAACAATCTGAGGGAGTTGTTGGTTTGCGAACTGCAAACATGAATTTTATTTTCAGAATTTCGAAAATTGGATTGCCTCACTGAAGACAAGTCTGTTCGTGGTGGTCCGGAAAACTCAAAGTGCCATTTGGTCATAAAAGATCTCGAAGATGAGGAGCCTGGTCGTGATGCAGCTGAAGGTGACGGCTGTTTCTCGGTCAGTCCATTTTTTGCATTCGCGACAATTCCACACTGTTCACTTTTTTCTTTATTCCATTCGTAGTTGTATCTTTCTTAATTCCGAGTCGCTTCATTGTTATGCTAAAAAAAAAGAAAAATGAATGAATATTTGGATTCAATCGTTTGGAACTCAGATTGTCGCAATTTCGATGAGAAAATTAAGGGTTCATGCTCGAACCTTTACTTTTAGGAGGAAGCTGGAACCGATCAACGGGTATATTGCGATATGATCTGTCCTAAATCACACGCCGTCTTCCATTCTAAATCGCTAAATCATCGTGCATGCTTCAAGTTCCACACATACGGCGTTCGTTACTTACTTTTAAAAGTCATCATTCACTTTTTGTCTTCTATTCAATTCTCATGAATTGAGTGGAGAACCGAAAGGTTTTTTTTCGGTGGCCACCGAGTAAACAAATATTAAGCGTCGACCGATTCCGGTTTTGTTTTCGGTGACTACCGATCGAAATTCAGAGGCGACCGAGTTTCGATGGTCGTCAACCTGACTCTACAACATAATGTTCATGAAAGAACTGCAACAGATTTACGGTCGAATGTGTATTATTGATTTCAAATAATGCTAGTTGCAGTTGGAACAACGTGGCGAAGACTGGTTCTTATGGCGGTCGGGCAAATGCCTCAACAGCACGGCAGTATTCGATGTTGGCTGCAAATTTGATGCACCATTCAAAACCCAATTCGCTAGTGATAAGGAAATCTTCGCTCGTCTTAAGGCACGAAAAGCGTAGAATGATTTCTCGTATTTAGTGAAATTCACAACACTGTGATAATTCGATACAAATATACGAAAGAAATTCAGGTTTTTGTTAGATGAAAAGCTGTCAGCTTGTTGACAAATAAATGGTAATTCCACGCCTTCAAAATCTTCCATCCTACATTATATTGGAAAAAGCTTCTAGAATTTTGGCAATGGTTCGTTTAGGCGATGATTCTTCGGAACGGAAACTACTCCTAAGGAGGAACGGTTTTAACGAACTATTCACATTTTCTCTAATCCACTTTCAAAGCTTCGGTTGCCATTCTTACTTTCCTGAACAATCTCTTTTATTTTTCATTGGTTCCATTCGCCGATGTCGGTGTGTATCATTTGATAATGGCTTATGTTCGCAAATCTGCCCCATATTTATTTCTTCAACGTGTGCATTATTTGCGATTGTAAATTTTGAATATATTATTGTTGTTTCGTGATGAACATTTATGCATCTATCATAGAAAGATATAAAAAATGAAAATACATGATGCCGTTGTATTAAAGCAGTAACTAATCGAAGTTCTTTCGATTGTACTCCGAGTACAAGAAAATATGGAGAGGTTGTTGATTTCATTGCGAAACATTTTCAGTTTTGTTGAAAATTGAGAATAGCCGAAAATCTTAAATCAACAAATATATTTTTGTGTTCGTTGATGATCCACCAAATTCGTATGCAGTTTAAATCAGCAACGTAGGTACATAAAACATTTGTAGTATGTGCTAGAGTTAACAACGATTGCGGAATACGTCAAGTGAACAGCAAGTGCTATGAGCAAAATGGAAAAACTAAAAGAACGACTTGAATAATTCACAAAATGATTGCATAAAAGTTGGAGGCAATATAGCATTCGGCTTTTGTCGGCAACTTCGTTTCGGTATTTTCGATTCTTTGATCGTATTCTCTAAGCCGTGTAGCTGCCTTTTCTTGCACACTTACATGTGTTTCCTCGAATTTCTCTTCGTCGCCACGAATCTCAAGCCTATTGCACACTTGGTTATTGTTCACGTCGAAATATTAAGAGATAATCTGTTTGTTTGGCATCCGCCATAATTTTTCTTTCTGCCAAAAGGTGGCATGTGTTTACAGTTTATGATTCGTATGTTGACGCAATCAGCAACAACAATTTTTGTTTGGTAGTATTTTCAATGATAAAAGTATGGACGATTGCAATAATTATCAACCGGTTATTTGTGAATTAACCGGTCGGGTAATATATGGTCGAGAGGAAGAAGAAGATATCTTGTTAAAAGAGCACTACCATGTGATCTATTCTCATGGAACATGCACCATTCGTTGCATTTCATCGTATTTCGTTCATCCTTGAATTCATCCTTTTAGTATTCATTTACCCATATACCATTATCCCTTCAAATGATTATTCTTTCTCTCATTCTTTTGCATTCCGAATCGCTTTCATATCGATCACACGAACACTGCATTCATCTTCATATTTCAGTTGCTTTCTTGTGTACCGTCTTGTAAGACACACTGATAGAATTGTTCTTTCTGTTGCAAACACACGTCATCTGCTTTCAAGTTCTTCCAAATTGTTTTGCCGATTTCTTCATTCTATTTTCTTGTTATTTTTCCTCTCGAAGTCACCAATATTGTGATAAAACAATTATCGTTTCTTAATTCATGACATTTTGTGTATGGCTTGTTGTCGTCGATGCATGAAACTGAACGCCAAGTAGTCTATGATTTGCATACTGCGCATTTATATTTTTGACTCGTTCTTCATAGCCTTCAAAACTTATTATGTCCTCAGTGCGCACTCATTTAGGTCACTAATTTTCGAAGGTGGTCACTTCTTTGTTGCAAAAAAAAAGTCCGCAAAGTTCATATCCGAACAATAAGCGAACTCGATCATCACGATATCATTGAAACGGTTTTCATAATGGTTTGCTGATGGTCTCTTCTGAAGTGATCCTTTAGTGGATCTTTTCGCTTCAGAAAGCAACTGAATACAGTCAAATTGAACGCTTGCTTCTTGTTTCGATATGTTGTCTATTTAGTAAAAGAAAACTAGGCATATTTCTTCATCATCACGATGAATAAATATGCCTAGTTTTCTCACTTATACATGTGTATGCTTTAAATAAGAATTGTTTTTGTTATTTGAAGGAACTGAATGAGACTTCCAATAATTTGTTACCTTTAGCTTTTCTCTCATTACCACTGCTGGCATCGTTCTGGCGAAGCGCTAGCATGTCTGCTTTATTTTTCGAGTATCTGCCATTGTTTGCAAGAAATAAATGAATTTGCTGGTTTAAGTTGTCACCTAAGTGTGTACCATCAATTAGAATTGGCATGGTTATGGTGATGATCTTCATTATTGTCGGTAGTGTTTTTATGAGTTATATCATCATTGTGTATATCCTCATTTTAGTCGAACCGCAATTTGAGGTGTTTTGGGCTGGTATTTTTTTCAAATCGATTCAGTCATTTATATGTATTTCGATGTCTGCATCGCCTTTGATCTTAATATTAATCGGAGCTTATGCTTGCTTATCTTTACCGATCGTTACTCTCAATGTGCATTTGTATGAATGCGCTCGCATTGTTGTCAACATTTTGTTGTACTAAATCGAATCATGCAGTCGAACATACAATTGAATCGATCACTTGGTAATACATCATACGTACACGTTCCCTTTGTTCTTCAATAATTACACCCACTCCATCGCACCTCTCTCGACTACTTTCCTTTCTCAGTTGTTCGAAAGACGATTCATCTTCATCATCACATTTTTTAGATCACTTATGGACTTAAACAACTTTTCGCTTATGCTCAAAATTTTATTCTTTTCCGGGTACATTTTTCCGACGAAGTGGCGACTTTTTTGATGGGAAAATGAATAATTTGTTTGTTTTATCCTATTACTTGATGTATAGGGCGAATGTAATTTCACCGAATAACTTCTTAAATGATCCTTAGGAATCGTTGTGTATATTCGGGTACGTTCCAAATAAATCATTTTTGATTTTCTGTGCAAAATCGAATATAGAGGACGTCCATTACTACATTGATGTTCTTTTGCTTTTATGAGAATTTTTATCACATGACACCCGTCCTGAATATTTTTATCGAGCAGGTCAAGAACTTGATAGTATGCATTTCGTTATTCATCACTATTCTTTGCATGTTTTTTTTTTCATTTTCAATCTTTGTATATGATTGTTTTTGTATATTAATTCCTTGTTAAGCTGTATGCATACCTATAAACTATCGCAAAATAGCGGTTCGGTGGAAGAGGTCCTTGATAAATCCGCCCGTTTGGCAAGTTTGTGAGCCAGTTTAATAAATGCAGTCTTCATTAAATTGTAAACACAGATAAATCCTAAATCCCTGTTCATCAAGCGTGAACATATACTTGCTATGTGCATGATGGCAATTATCATTAAAAGTAGAAATAAACGAGACTGCTGCATTTTGTTGTATGAATGGCAATGAAATGCTGTGAGGTAGTTTAACGCACTATGAACTATCATATTCGTGAATAACGTGTTCTGAAATAATTTCATGAAACAAGTTCTGTGCACTTTCCTACTACTATTTGCAACCTTTCCGTTCGCAACTCCTTTCATTTCGAGTGTTGCCGTTTCCCATAATCATCTCGCTAAGGCACATTTACGAAAAAGTTTTCGCATTCTTTCAATTCACTTAGTTTAGTCAATCAACCCTTCGTGAATTTAAACCTCTGAGTTTGCTGATAATGAATTTCTCCTTTTTGTAATGTTTTTAGATTTCATTTCAACATGATTTTTTTGAGCTGTGCAATAAACGATTTTTAGGTGAACGTCAGTTTTCAGTGATGAACAACCACGGAACATGGTCATTATTCGTGCTGAGTATGCTGAAGAATGAAGTGTCTAATGAAGTTGCTTGCGATCTTATTTTTGTGCTAGCTGTCCTTCGTAAGATCATTTACTATGCTTGCTCATCTCCCCTCAGTTCTCTCCTACTTGTTTCTTCTAAGCTCCAAGAAAACTTCATGAGAATCAAGGAAATGAATGTTTCCTTCGGACAATGAACTATCATCACGTTCTAATTCGGTACCTGTAAAGATTGTGTACTGTCGATTCAAACTTTATTCGGAAAATTACCTCAAACCTGGATAATTAAACCACATACAATTAACAAACATTACGAACAAAATTATAATACTAACAGTTAATCAATGAAAATAAGAAGTTATCGTAAATACATCATGCGGCTGCATGATGCTATTTCAACGACATACAAAGAAACTTATAATGGTAGAACTTTCCTTTTATAGTCTTTTAGTTCTAATCAACAGCTGCACCGCTTTATTACTCTTAATTCCTTGAGGGTCGGAATGCCAATCACTTTCATCTCATCAAACTATCCCTCTGATCATTTTCTCACTGATTCTCTGAGGGATAGGTTGCCATATGATACTCAATGGCTCTTCACGTAAACAATCAACTGTCAATCAAACTAACAATATTATTATTAAATCATTCTAATAATTGAAATATCATTTCAATTACTTAAAATTACCTCACGACTCAATAGTCGTGACAGTACCAAAACGGAGGTGTCAGCTGAGTTCCTAATGTGAAAAGGTTGAGGATGATTTTACAGTGGGGCTTTTGAACTGAATTCGGCACTGCTCAATCCATAATTCAATGCGAATTTCTGGTTAACCAGTGACTACGAATGAAAATTATGCAACGCATCATCGCAGATCGCAAATGGACTCGTTCTGATTTCCTAATCAGATTCTGCCTCCTTTTTTTCTCTCATTTAAAAGGGTCGCTCATAGCAGCATCAGTCAGCACGCTTTCTCGATACGAAATGGTAATATTCAATAAAGTTACTTTGAGAATAGTGATCATTCGTTCATGTTTAATGAATGCTAGAAATTTTTCTCATTTATGAGGCGCATAACGGTAACAAGTGAATCAAAACACTAAGATTGTGTTGTCAACAAAAGATTATCTGTCTAGTCAGATATATTCCGATGATCTTTAACGTTTCGGCATTATGCCATCTTCAGGAAAATCTTTTTTGAACCACTGAAGGCCATGATGAACTTTCAGAGGATTGACAAGGGTAAGGAAATTGGAAGGGATTATAGTTAAACTAATAGTAGATAAACAATAAGGTAATGGTAATAGTGACGAGGATGTTGATGGTGGAGATAGGGCTGAAGGTATGATAATGGTAATGTCGATAAGAACAGTGATAATGGCGAAGAAGACAAAGTGGGATAATGTCAGTAAATAAATAAATAAATAAAATAATCACAACAAAGTGGGCAATGGTAATAATAATACTGATGAAGTGATTGGGTAATGATTATGATTGCCATAATAATGATTAATGAAATGAAATCTAGATGGTTACAAAGTAATCAAGGCGAAGACCGAGAGTAAGTGAATGAGGAAAGAAATGATAAAGTGTAAGAAAGTGATAAGTTATGAGATGAATTTGAGGGTTTGCACCATCTCCTCTTTAGGGTTGATAGAGGGATTCTGAACGTGGATGAATGTGACTCTCTTTTTGTGATACAGTTGGAATGTGCGAGAATTACAACTATTTAAGTGGGATTGGAGTTTACATGATGTGCTATTTTATGCTTGGCTATAGGCATATTTACAGATGATTTGGTATGAGTGCTCTCAGATGCTCTGTGATGCAGATGTGAAGAAATCGGCCAGTTTCGCGGGTATAAAATTCACTACATTCACATGATTATTTGTAAATAGATCCAGTCTTGTTATAAGTTGCTTCATAATTACTCGGACATATTATACATATTCTATTGAGTATGTTTGGTCATATAGCCATGATTTGGTTACCATTCCTTTCAGATTAGGCGGTGAAGTGACCACCAAGTTGATAAGTAGGACGCTATCTCGAATGATGCATTCAACGGTATCTATGAATTGGCTGATAATGCTTTCTTTTATATTACCGCTCCGTTTTTCCATTTCGATTCCTAATAGTATTTGCTCTCAAATTCCGAATGGTCGTCGCCATTATGGTGAGCAGTTGTCTACGCTAGGCTCAGTGTTTCTGGTTTTGATGACATCCGTCGTCAGTCTGATCGCAGTAGTCCTCATTTGTGTTGAAAAGTTTTTCTTATTGTGATCTGGATGTGCTGCTTTACGGTGAGTATGGTGACATTCCTGCAGGTAGGTTTTCGGTACCATTTCTTGACAAAATGTTGCTCTATATTCCCACCATGCATTTTAGAAGTGCTAACCGTCCATTCTTTGGGCATTCGGATGTTAGCGATATGGAAACGTGACGATTGTTCAGAAGCTTGAAGCACTTCTCCATGTCTTCCTTGCTGTTTTTGCTGATGAAAATGCCATCAATGTACCGATAATACGTGATGGGTGGATTACATGAAATGCTCCTTTTCCACTTGTGCATGAATGCAATAGCTAAAACTGGCGCAAGTCTGTTGACTACAGCTAGCCCTCTGTTTTGTCTGTAGAAGGCATTAGACCATTTGAAGATGTTCTTTGAAGTTATAATTTGAAGCAGTCATTCAATACCTCCTAGAGAGAAATCATAACGAGTTATATTGGTATTACTCAACCCATTACTGCACCAGCAGTGTTGACATCACCATTCATATTGTTATCAAATAAGCGCATTGCGATGCATCGCACTGAATACATATGAACAATATTCAGTTCAGCAAAAAAAATGTGAATATGGATAGTGTAAAAAACCGAATTATGAATTCAAAGAGAACTATTTTGTGAAGATATTCTCCATTTCTATGCAGCGCAAGTTCATGAATCATTTTACATGTCACAACAATTCTCCTTTGGGAAGTTGCGAGCATAAACATTGGATGAGAATGTGACACGCTTTTTGAACTATTAATCGAAGCGGTTTTGCCATTTTATTTTCATCATAATCATAGCATCCATATGTAACTCAACATTCCAGTTAATTCCATCAGGCATATACCATGATCATAGTTTCTATCCGAGAAAGTTCGCTTGGTTTTAAACGTTTCCTTCTCAGTTCGAGCATTTTCCCGAAAATTTTGCTCGAATTCACAGCAATCCTGATCAACAGGAGACGGGGATAACAAAGAATCTGGGCTTGTGGTGCGAACAAATCTGCAGAATAATATCGGAAAAGTGAGATTTGTTCCTTTAATAATTGAAGAAAAGGATTCCTAAACTGTGCCATTTATCGCTATAATGAAAAGTTAGATGCACATCTGATCAGAAACGGTAAATGAAATCAATCTTCCACGAAGTTTCTTCGTTTATCATTGTCACTTACCCGCATATACTAGGATAGGATGATGTGTTGAACGTCATGTGGAAACATTCAATAAACTACAGTTAGGTTGAAATGATCATACTCGTATATAACGGAAGAAAGTGGCGTGTGTGAATTTCATGTTAAAATCTTAAGATTCATGTGTCATTTACGGATCGTGAATTATGCTCAAATGTAAGGAATATGTGCATGTACGTGTCTCTGTTATTTGTGTGCGGCCACGTTTCATAAATGTGGGTCGCTTTCATCTTGACGGTAGTTTACTACCGTTTTGTGCGTATCGTTTTTGACCGAAAGAAGTGGGAAAAGATTTCATGCATAAAACCCATGGTGTATCTCATCAATCCCATTATATCTGAGCAAATCATATCAACGACACAACCAAATAACACAAACACACATTTTATCGGCGACATCATTCAATACGACTATTCGCTTGTTTCCTCGTCACGGACACTCATTTGAATAGACTTGAGTTCGTTGAACAGTAATCGATTGTCGTATGAAATGTTGATGGGCAACTAAACATGTGAATTTGATGATGATACGGAGAGTGTGCATGCCGCGATCGACTTTTCATCACTTTTTCTATTCATGATCAGATGGGTACCTCGAAGTTTCAGTTTATTAATTGTTCAAGTTTGGCTTATTTCTAATGTGTCTATTGCACTCTTATTTCAAATCCAATTAGTTCATCACTTTTTTCGCTAACAACAAGTAACTCCTTCCCTTGCTCGTTCTTCCTTCCATATGCCTTCTCACTTCAACAATCACTTTATAAGAGAACTCTGTGGATTTCTTCACTATTCCAATTATTATATTTTAATTCAATATCAGCAGTGATATTGATGATCATACGAATAATAATATGTAATGTGAAAACAACAACAATGATAGTAACAGTAGTGAATAATTATTATTATACAGTAGTATCAGCAATATCTAATATGAATATTACATGACAGGAATATATAGTAATAACATATTATAATAATAACAGTAATAATAATAATAACAGATCAAGTGGTAACACCAACAACTCAACCGAAGTTAACTAAGTAATTATGACAGTTCAATCTTTGGTGTCACCACAAAGAATGCCAACTTTTGAGCGTCTCTGCATGCATTTTTGTATCGAAAGACCTTGAATGAACGAATTTCTCAGAGCAACCCTCAAATACCTTTCCTCCGTAGACTCTACTGAAATAGTTGGTGTAGACATCTTGTACTTATCTTCATTTTTGCGTGAAATATTTCGAAAGTTTTACTTTTTGTTCTCGTACCGCCTTGTTCGAAACTTTCGTGCTTCCACAGCGAAAGATACTCGATTATCAGTCTGTGTGCGTAAATTTATTTTACACTGAAAGCAGTCTTTATTTAGCAGTTTAAGATGCTGCTGAGGAGAGAAGCCTGTTGGTTGTTGTTTATTGCACTGCTTGGTTTGTTATCATGTGTTTCGTGCTCGTATGAAGTTTGGCCAGATCCAGTGGAGGATGGACGTGAAAAGTTCCCAAAGCCAACCTCGTGGGAAGACAAAAATTACGGCCAGTGGTGTCGAAATCGAACAATTGGAAAGTAATACATTGAATTCGATTAATTCACTCTCACCAATGATTAATGCCATAGTATAAAGGTGATAAGTGAACGTGGAAAATATCTTAATTAGCAAACGTCCTATAGTTCATTATTGTGATTGCAGGTCTTGAGAGAATGAAGTAGCTTATGTGTTACTATGAATGTTTGATTGGTTGTTGCTTAAAGAAAGGTTTGATAAGTGTGATTACGATATCTACAGAAGGAAATTTTCAGGCATGTGCAGTGTCAAATGGGCTCTCCATTGCATCTGTATGTTTGTTGTGGTGAAGATGGCACGTCATGTTGCTTTCGATTGCAGCCAATTGTAATTGCGTACGGCGGTGGGCTCGGATCAGTCTTTATTGTTTCGTTTATTTTTGCGTTACTTCTCAAATTCAATATCATCTGCCCAGTCAACAACACTCAAAACGACGTCGAATATCAGGATGTACCTAAAAATGTCAACTAACTAGTCTTGAAGACAAAAAGATATTCTAAAGCGGTCGCTTCACTGCTCAATTGATCTTCATCAACGTTGAGCGGCAATCCACAATTCTTCTTCTTTTCATTTCTCACCATTACGAAGAATTTGAATTGTTTAGAGACAATTGTCGAGTCCACCATAAGTGTCACAAATCATTGCTATTATTATCAATTTCTTTATGGCATCCGAAGGTACTTCCTAAACAGAAGACATTCACGTTCAAATGTTCAGCGTGGATGGTTAGCAAGAATTTTTAGTGAAGTATTATCAAAGAAGTTTATTTGTGGTATTTTCAAAAAAGAAATTCAATCATCTGACCTTGAAGACAAAAAATATCTTAATGGGTAATGAGCTAAAAACGAACCCGCTTACGTTATTAATAATGTTTGTCAGATGGTAAAGTTACATGTCGATCAATCAAGTGAAAACTGATTAATTCGATTATTGCTGTAAACGAAAACGCATGAAACAAATTTAAATTAAATACATATGAAAAAATCGTCGATGAAACTCTGGGCATAGTCGATTGTCGTATCGAACGAGAATGCCGGTCATATCAAAAAGATAAATCAACTGAATAACTTGAATATTGATGAAACAACTCTCGTCTAAGCTAATAGTCTATTTCATTTATCACTGCAACCACCATATCTTACTGACTTTTATCATCGAAATGTTATCCTGATTTGTTGACCACAAAAAATCCTCGAACGCTGCTGATTTGTATATGTGCTTTTGAATTGTTGTTGTCCGTGTGTAAGTTGTTTGTTTTTGCTCAAAATGTTTCGAACTAAGTCGAGCTCATCACTTGTTTCCTCCCCTAAACAAGTTTGCTTACCTCTTTTTTTCATCAGTCAGTCTTGACTGTCTCTTAACAAATCTCCTAATTTCATTCTTTATTCGATAGTTACAACGTGCGATACTGTATTGTAGAATTACTCCTCGCGATATGTTATTAGTGCTTTTCTATTTCGATCAACTGAGAAATCCATAAAATGATTGTATTCAAAATTGTTGCTATTAACTTATGAAAGAATATGTAAATGAGACATTTGTTACTCTTCGTTGCAAATATTTAGTGAGTAAATAAGGCTTTGTCTCGATTCTCATCAATCGAGAAAACGTTGTCGGAACGCAACCAACCGAGCGTGAATCTGTTTATCGTAACTTTCAAACGAAGTTTTCACGGTGGTTCTCAATTCACTGATCAAATGAAATGAATAATGCACCCGTACTCATCAATCAACTGCAATTTGTAAACACATGTATGCAATATGATCACATGATTTTATTCCTTTTTTTTTCGAATAATCTTCACTTATTTCATTGTAATGAAGAGAACATTTTGGAGTTATTCACAACAACGATTATTCGTTAATTGAAAAATATTATGAGTTGAAAGTATTATAATATATACTATAGTTTTAAGAATAGCTTATCAAATAAATGATTCGTTTTTGGTGATAACAGGGACAGCTAAAGAATATGAATAAGAACAGAAGTGAACTCAACTAATTTAATTGATCGATCGAGCTGTAATTTTTGTTTGATTTCTTCTTATGCATTCGAAAAATGATAAAATATTCGAATTCGTATCAAATCATGGACAGTAATTTTGATCAATACATCCATTCTATGAACAATTTCTTCTCGCTTTTTTCCGATGAAAATCAACTTTAGTTCTGAGATTTACATTTAATTCTGTGGCTGTATTGTATGATAATAAATGAACAAACACACATTTGAAAACGACCAAAAACATTGAAAATTCAAAATATTTTGAGAAAAAAGCGCATGACCGATGGTTTCATCTTTTTCGGTTCCACCACATATTGGTTTATGTTGATCGCTTTTTGCGAACACCATTCTCTTCTAAGATGAAGTTGTGAAGCAGCTTGACATGAAATTTCCAAGCTTTCAAGGCAAACACTTGAGTCAAGCTTTTCGGTTCTGAGTTTCATTCAAACCATAGGTTTAGCAGGAAATTATTAGACACTATTTGAAATTGAATAGAGAAGACATCTGACGAGGCATTAGGATGATATATTATACTATAAACAATACACATTTGTATTATTCGGAAACACATTTGCTATTCAGGTAGTTGCGGATGATGGTCACCTGAACTGATGAGACGGGATTATGAGGGAAAAAGTTCTCACCGGGAATGCCGCAATCAAAAGAAGAGTAATATTTGCAATCGTCAAACCTCTAGTGAGCAATGAAACGAAACGATGAACTGTATTTGTACGAGAAATCCATATGAGAAAGGGGACCCTTCGCAAAATTTGCATTGAACATGCATACAGACGCAAAAAAAAGTTCGGCAATATTTTTCATTTTTGGGCTTGGAGGACATTTTGGAACAAATTTCGCAGAATATTAGCCACTACAAACATGAGATAAAGTCAGCTCCAGTGCCAGTACTGTTTAGATCATATATGAAGCTTACTGAAACTTCAGTAAGACAAGAATCAACGAAATATGGATGGTTCGAGTTGAAAAATTTTTCATAATTCCGGCATTTTTTGATTTGTTAAGAACATTCGAAATAATAATCATTTTTGCATTTATTATCCACTTGAGGTTTGAGATAAGGTGAAAAAAACAATGAGAAACAATAACAAAAATATGTCGAATCGACGAAAAATATAGGGAAGAACAAAAAATTTCGAAAGGACATCGTTCGTAGAATAACAATCGATTTTCATTTGAATTAATTCAGCTTTTATACCAATGCATAATCAAATTTCATCTACTGCCCAACATTCTGCAATTTTTTTCATCCCAACAACTCACTCCGATAGTTTTTGATTTGTTGCGAATCACATGAGGTATAGTCACCCATGTCTTCCCCTTAACCTCATCAGTAAATTTCAATGGTCTGTTAAATTTGAGAATAATTATTTTAAATGCAAAAAAATGGAAAGTGCGATCGACTGCACGCTAATAGTTCCAGATGCACTCGAAAGATGAAGTAAAGAGATTTTTTTGCATTTTTATGGATATATTCAACATATCCAACTGAATTTCTGAAAGTATAATTTCCGTCTGTGTCATCTATGAGTATATAGCATCTATAATATAATCAATTACTACTACTGGATAAATTTGCTCTCTGCGAGTCAGCATTTCTTACTTCTATCCATCTTGCATCGCAGCATTCACTACTCATTTTCCGTCGTCAGTTTGTACTGACGTATAACCGTCTTGTTGTTGTACAGTCCAAGCCTTACTACTGCGTTTACGACCATCTAAAAGATGACCTGAAAATGTGTAAAAATCAGTTGTTGACAGCTCAACGAATATAGTTCGAAGGTGTCACCCGTACAGGTGGATGATCCTGTGCACTGCCTCATTTGCGAGTACTTCACCATTGCTGTGAGTAAGAGTGAATGAATTTGTTCCGTTGAACGAATATTGAAACGAAATGTACCGTGCTCATCGTAGATCTGTTGTGATAAACGATGTTCAGCATCCAACAACGCCAGTCGTTCTTGACTGAAATGGTGTACAACACCAGCGCCGAACGCATCACCGATAACGTTGATTGATGTACGGATTCGATCTCTGAATATGCATCTACTGACCACGATTCGATCGCTTTTCGATCACAAAACTCATTTATTAAGGAAGTTTTTCAAGGAGAGAAGAAGTTTGCCAGAAAATTATCATCGTAAAAGTCCATGTAGCCTCATTAAAGAAAGAATGAATGAACACCCATAAAAGCATAAGTCAAGACTCACAACAGCCAATCAACTGCGACAATCAACGACACGTCTTTAACCGGTAAGCCAACGGCTGTCAAAACAAGCAGCATTGTAACAAGTCCTGCTGATGGCACAGATGCTGCACCAATTGATGCTAGTGTAGCAGTGAGGCTTGAAAAAAATTGATCTGATTGTTTCTGTTATCACAGGAATACGTTGCACCACAGGATGCAAGATTAGTGCCAGGTTCTCAGTTCTTTTAAGGCTTACAAGTGGCTTTCATAGACCACTTTTTTTATGCTCTGTTGTCAACGAATAGCACTGTCTCCCTGATCTGATGCGATCTCACTCGTAATTGTTGCTAACTCATAATGATGACAGTTTTACAGAAAGGATGTTTTCAATCCAATCCGACCGAACGAAAACCGATGTTCGCTCTAATTTGCTGTTACCTACCAGTGTTATCGACCGCTAGAAAAGGATGAATCAAGCAAACTTGAGAGAATGCGTAGTGTATCTCTATAAGCAACCATCGCCTTTGAAAGTGATGGTTGCAAAGAGGAAAGAATTGCTCAAATGCTCACCTGACTGTAACCACCTGACCAAATGATAGATGAACACCATTCATTTGTGCAATGAAAAGGGCTGCAACCGCTTCGTATAGTGCTGTACCATCCTGAATAAAATATCTTCAATAAAACCACTAAATCATCTCTTTTCCTACTTACTAAACTTTCACAACGAAGCCATTGACTACTGTCAACAATATTGCGTGTAAAGAACTTTCTGGGCTGCAAAAAAAGAAACCAATCAACTAACCATATTGATGGTTGCGCCAACCGGCAAAACGAATCGTGTCACTCTTCTGTCCACGCCAAGATTCTCCTCCAAACATCGGAATGTCAGCGGTAACGTGGCCGAACTGAATGTAACACAACCAGTAGATAATCGACAAAATTTCACAAAACTCTTTTCTGCATCAAAAGTCCGATAAAGGATGGAAGAATTGGTGGCTTTCTCTTGAACTATTTCCGAAAGCATCAGAGCCGAAACATTCATGAGCAATTTTTAAAAAAGTTTCAAATTTCGTGATTCACTCTCATAGAAGAAAATAAAAAAGAAATGGGTAGTAAAAATCATTATCAATGTGCTGTCACGGATATAATAATAGCACATTTCCATCTGAGTTAAATTAGCATGTGAACCATATTTTTGCAGATATCGCATTCAGCTTATCCCAGAAAGAATGGCAAGGCTGTAATATGTCATGATTTTCTGATGAAAAATAAATTGAGTCATCAGAAAAGTGACATTCACGAAAGAAAATACGATGTTCGTTTCTTGTTGTCAAAGGAAAGTTCCTCGCTCAACCGTCAATTATCTCTGTAGGTATGAATGGTTTAGAACATTGCATAATGAAAATGATACGTGATTGCGAATACCCCTACGCACAAAATTTACAATCCTACCGTGTGATTGAATTACATATTTCGAGTGCTCAACAATCAGCATTTAATGCATTTCTGACGGAGTTTGAACTGAGTAGTCGAAACACATGTTGGTTCCTCAGAATGTATTCTTTCGGTTTGATGTCCAAACATGTGAAAGTTGTACCCATGAACCATTTTCAGCCTCATTCAAATTACTAGCAAAGGATTCAGAGAGATGAGTACTTAGAAGGGAAAAGAAGTTCGGGATTACCTGGAGGCCGTACCCAGTGCTGTTATCCAGGCTTGCAACAGTCCACGCATAAATACGTACGGATTTTTCTTTGTACAAACGAAGAACAACAACGGAAGACTTATTAACGAGTGAATGGCTAAACCAAGCAGTACGGTTACCATGTACATCGCTAACATACGAGCCGTATCAGCCAGATCGTGTATTTCCAAGATCTTGCCCATTATCAGGCACATGATACCGAACGGTGAATACCTTAAAGATCCAAAAAAATTTGATTGTAACGAAGCCTTCTAACAGTGGAATATATTGAAGTGTTAATATGAAGGGAAAATTCAAAGGTTTCTGAGAAGAAGCTGTGAATACTTCAAAACATTTTCTTCATTTAGTTTTCCTTTTATTCATATCATGCTAGATTTTCTGTACAGTTGACAAAAGCTGATGCTAATGCTAATAAAGTTAAAAATAAATCTCAAATCCCTGCAACACCCACCACATAACAGTCATGACTAATTTCATAATAACTTGATCCATTATCACAAAAAATTCCACCATCAAACGAGCTTCCTCGCCCAGTTGACTTACAACAATACCAAATGCGATGCAAAAAACGATTATCCCTGAAAGAAGATGAATCATCAACAAGATAGCAACCTGAACATGGAGGAAAAACCCTCTGAAGAGGTCGAATAAAATGCCCGAGCAAAGCTCTTTGTCTTACCGAGAACATTCATTCCTGGAGTGTATTCTATAGATGGTCGCATGACAGTCATTGAGCCGTTCGCCAGTGCTAATAACATTTCAGTGGTATTCTTTCGGAGGATTTTTGGTTTAACTGGTACGTAAGTGGTTTGTACTTGTTGGAAGGTTGCTTGAACGATATTCTCAGGGAACATGTTCCTGAAGATAGATACATAGTAATGAATAAAAAAACCATTTAAGCGGTAGTAAATCTTAAACATTGACCATTATGTTCCAGACAGTGTACTTATGAAATTACATTCATGTAGCAGTGAAAGGAGATCACAATCAAATAAATCAATGAAAGAAACCAGCTTACCGTATCAAATCGAGAAACGTATCAATCGTGCTCACTGTTTTACCTTCCATTCCCTCACCAAGATCTTGTTTAATTGTTGGATCACCGGGATGTATCGTGAGCACAAGAAAAATGCCCGTCTGAAAAAATGGTCATTCTTCTGTCATCTTCATTGATCAGTCGACGAAACAGTTTTGCAATGCCAAATTAAACGTTGCACTAAATTTAGGTTTCACCTATATTTTCAATGAGGTTTTCACGGTGCTTCTAGTTTGAAAGGAGCTGACCATTTAAAGCCACTCTGGTGAAGGCTTTTAGAGATACATTCTTATTATCCGGATTATACAGTCAGCTTCTATGAAATTCAGCGATCCACATTTTTAGATGTATCTTCTTCACTTTTCGACATTCTCATGATATTTACTAAACGCACTGCAACAGAATTGCTTTGATAAGTGGCATGCACGTGGTTGTACACTTGCAGGACATGTTACAATCATTTGATGATTAATGATCAATATTCTTTACGTTAACAAAATATCTTTCAACTAACAATGACTGCGATTATGGTAGTAGCAACGTAGTAGAGGATGGCCAGTGAGCCCATTCTACCGGATTGTTTCGCATCCAGTTGTGCGAGTCCTATAAAACAGTTGATTATTGCATTAGATTTTCTCTGCTTCGAGTAACCTTACAATTAGGATGAGGCAAATCCAATCCCAGGATGCAGTAGCCACCTTGCGTGATAACTGCCTGCAGCCTTCAGAGCAATGAAATTTTGAATTCTGCTTTGAAAACGAAGAGAATAATGAATTGATGTTCAAACGGCTAAATCAAATGAAGGGCGAACTCATTGGGTGGCCCATCCTATTAAAGGCTTTATACCGTAGCTTATAGGCAGAATATGTTTTTCCAAGAATTGTTGTAAGTGTGAAAGAAATCTATGAAGTTCAAAAGGCGCTGGTAACATCGAATGGATAATACCTGATATGAGAGAACTGATAATGAGAGGAAGAATCATTAGTTTGAGCATATGCATGAGAATTTCGCCCGGAAATGACACCAACGTGATTGTTTGAGGTGTCAGATTCAACGGTCTCAACAGGAAACCGAGCAATGCACCTAACACCACGGATGCAATCGTACCAATTAACAGAAGATTCTTCCTCAACCATCCCATCCTAAAATACTGCTGAGGATGAACGCATCAATTGAAAACAATAACAGAGAAGAAGCAATTTCGTTTGATTCTCGGCAAAGCAAAACAAACTCGTCTATTCCTAGAATTTTAAACTTTCAAACCACCAAACGCTAAAAGAGGAAAATTGCTAAGTTTGTGCAAATTTGTTATTGACGAAATGATAATACCAGCTAGTTGAACTCACAATTATTTGCATTAATCATTAATCTACGCACCTACACATCTACTTTTTAAAGGTTATTTTTCGGAAAAAAAATGGTCTAGTTGCATGATCCATTGCTTTAATCCATTATCACTGCTTTGATCAATCATATAAGTTCAAATAAGGTACTTAGAATGCATAATCGCATAAAACCACAACTGCAACAGATTTAAAAATTTCTTCCACTGTGCTCACATACATTTGCGGCTAATTTTCACTAGCATTATTCTCACACTAATTAATTTCATTCGACACAATAATCAATACAGTGAATGACGGCGCGCTGAGTGAATTTCCTCAGTAATGACTCTTAGCAACAACAGTGAATGATTCTCGATCGGCATATCATACCATTAAATTCACCGGCTGAATAATTGCGCACGAATTAGTGATAATGAAAATAAATGAACGATTGAACTGTAATGTGCATGAATCTGCGCGAAACTTTCACTAATTCATTGTTAATTGTTTTGTCAAATACAAAAAACACTCGGAATTGACAGTAATAATTCAAAATATGAAAAACAAGATTGACGAATAGATGTGTAGATATTGATAGACAGATAAATGAATGACTGCACTGAGTTTGATGGTTTCTACGCCGATGACAATTCGAATTGACATTTGCAGGAACAAGAGTCAATTTTTTGCCTGTGTCTGATTATATGACTGTGCTGATGATTTCGTGAATCAAACCTGTTTAATGCATAAGCATGCATCCATCTGTAGTTGGTTATGAATATGGCACATTACTGCGTAACGATAAATGCTTTTGAATTAGGCATTATAACACATTTAATTTTGAAATGCATTAAAAGTTATGCATTGTGTCACAAATATGGGAGCAGCAAAAATTTGCTGCAGTTTCATTGCTGCTCATGTATTGCCTGGAGACTTTTGATTACCTAGAAGCTCTTGGTGGCTTAGTTCGGCTCTGTAAGCATCAAATAGTTTCAATCGGTAATCAGAACATTCAGAAATCAAAGTGCCTGGTTGATAATCACCAGTACTTGACTTCAATTTGCATTTACTCATTGAGCAAGCTCGGATAAGCACCAAATGTAATGTGTAGCGATAAACTGCAATAGAAGAATATGATTGTTTCACAATTTGAAGAAGGATGTTTTTGAGCTATTGTATGTCTGTTTTCCTTATTAGCGTTCAATCATGTTTTTATAACGAGAAATAATAAAGGAAAGGCAATTCTCGTGAAATATGGGAGGTGGATGGCCAATTTAGCATACGTTGTCTACCTGGATGACCAGCATAAAAGTGCCAAGCAATGCATGCCATTCGAGAATATAGATTTGAAGCAATTCAACCAAATTGCCTGACACTATAAAAATGAGTCAGAAGACACATCATACGAGTGCAAAATTTTCAATTGATTATGAACATCAGTTTTATTTGCAAATGAGCCTTCAGCAGCACATTCAAAAACTTCACTGTTCAGTGTAATGAAACATAAAAACAAAGAAAAATATCTGACAGATCTTTTGAAAACATTATCAAATTTCACAGTTAACTGAATCTAAAGGAAAAAAGGCACAGTAGGATCCAATCACAGCATAAGCAATATACTTCAATCTTCTTGTGGTTTTCATTGAAGCAGGCAAATTTTTCTGATTACTGTTCATGGAAAATTCAACTGATCTTAAATCAACGAAACGCGAAACAGATTCTGACAGATGCGTAATGCCTTTCTGCAAACTGAGAGAGAGAGAGAGACAGTAGCTGTCGGACGCATCAACTGTTCCAAATATTTTTGGTCGACTCCATTAAAGTAAAACAATGACTCCATCGAGTTAACCACTCACACTCTAGGGCCGGCGATAAATCGTGAGTATTTTTAAACTTGTAGCCGAAGCTTTACTTTTCTTAGGGTTGGCAAAAATCAGTCGTTGCTTTAAATGAACGGTTGGTTTTTAGCGCAGAGGCAAGCAAACGCTCATCATTAACTTCAACCAATGAAACTCCGCATAGGATTTGTGACATCAATGTTATGATGAATCTGAATCGATGCATTTCCATATAAAAGCACAAATAAACAATTCAGCACTTCCTTATTTTGCCAATACCTAAGTAAATGCCTTTCACACACATATATCAATATTCAAAAGAAACTACACAACAGCATTAATTAACCAAATACATGCATAGGTACACCTATGAACGAGTATTTAACTGTACATGAGAAAGCAATAAATCATTCGTTTGTTGATGCTACGCTCGGTAATTAATGATAACGAGACTGATGTATTAGTCCGACTAAAGGGCGTTCTTGAATTGAGAACAAGTCGAAGTGGGTTTGTCACTGATGAAGCAAAGCACACGGTCAGTCGACAGCAAGACGATATTCATCAGTAGTATCAGCGTTATTTGACATCTAGGAGAAGAACAACAAAAATTACTTGGAAACTGGTTTAGAGGTGTCGCACATCGTTATTTTGGTTAAGAATTAACAATTCCGATATGAAACAATTATGGTTAATGGTATGGATGTGAACGCAAAAATGAACGTACCATAAGCATACATGAATGATGCACTTTCAAACAAATGCTTAACATCTGCCATAACCTTATAGACTGTAGATTTTGTTGCACACGAACTCCAGTGCAAACTCACTCACCCATCACACCACTCGTATATTTTTATATAAAATAAATAACTTATAAATATTAAAGTTTAAAAATTATACCACTCTTACAAATCAAAACTTCACAAAGAAAGACTGATGCTTAAAATAGCTGTTACGAGTAATGCATCAATTCGGTAATCACACAGAGGTATACTATTATTATGACTTATTTCTCTACTTGCCCACTGGTTTTAACTTTCGCCTCAGAATGAGTGGTTGAATTGAATCAGTGTAAAAGAGATCAATTTACCAAGTTTTACTCGCGTTAGTGCAGCCAGATCTTTGTTGATATGCTACCTACTACCACACTCGTCTGACATCTAAATGCTCAAGTCGTGACTGAAAGTGGATTTGAAGAAGGATGAATGGTTGTGCCTCAATGAAGTGGCATTCTCTTTGGGAAACATGCTAAATTATTTTTTGCGTACCGATGGAAAATCATAGAATGATCGAGAAATCAACTAGCGATCATCTGATGTGGAAATATTCACAACTTTTATCGCAGCGTATTTCAGCGTGAATGATATGATGAGAAAAAAAAGTGAATGAATAATAGTGACTGCATGAGATGCGATGCGCTAGTGCAGCCAGTTTCCTTGTTCGTAATCAAACGATGCGTTCAAAGAAAGTTCTAATTGGTTGCCTTCTTCTAATTTGATGTTGTTAGTCAACCTTTGCATCACCGATCGTCTAAACACAAAATTACGCGCATCTGTTTTTTGCCCTTTTCTCACTATCAAATCGCACACCTCAAAATTGCTCGCTCTCGATCATTTAGCGTAATCAATGAGTGAAAGATTTCGTTGAAAGGGCTTGAATTTGTGAAAGAACAATCCAGATGTATGGTTACGTTCTATACACAGAAAGACGCTAGGAATTCCATCTCAAACTGAACGGGCATAAAAGAGAATCGCTTTTTATAATAATAATCCCATGAAATACAAACAAAAAACCATTGGCAACATAATAAACGCTTGCTAAAAGCATTGTGTTAAGAATGAAAGAAGAAACAAGAGCAAATCTTTCCTGTGAGGAATTTCATCGCTACATTCACTCTGTCAGTTATAAGTCATATTTATGAGAAGTTGATGAGTGATAAGAGTTGGGTATAATAAAGAGAGCGGTTGCTCAACTGAATGAATGTTTGAAAAACAGTGTGCGAGTGTAAGAAACGAACAAACTGATAAAATTAAGTTGTGGATGGGATTATGGAATGATGATGCGTACCTGAGCTGAGGATTGAGTGTTCATGTGTTATATTCTTGTCGATTTACTACTTATCTTCTTCGAAACTAGTTAATTGAATGCAAACAAAAACAAATTACTTATGACACTTATATTAGCGCACAAGCACAGAAATATTTCAACAACGTTCTGAGTTACTTATTGCATAAACAACAGACATCTATTCCACTCCAGTTACTCGTTATTATCGTTTTCAGAATGCCTAATATAAACACTATGTATCTTTACCAAAATCATCCTTTACGCTTATCGTTCAACAACTGCCGCGCCGATACGATTCATGTATTTCCATTTAATATCATCCTAATTGCCGCAATTGGTTATGTGAAGTTGCTTTTTTGAGAGCTGTTCAAAATTTGTACGCAACATAAGAATGAATCAAAAATCAACACAGATCAGCAATAACCTGAACATTTCGCTTAGAACTCAAACAATTATCACACTCAAGCAAAAATGTTCTTTTGAATAGTTATTATCATGCTGTGAATCATTTGAAACATCTCAAAGTAAACTGAAAACGTCACATGAAAAACATGCCGACATAGAACGGCCATCGTAGATCGATGATCTTTTGTGCTCTTTTGCTCGCTTAAGCTGTCTTTATAATCGCCACTAACTTTTTGGCAGCTAGCATGTTCTTGCTAATGAATTGCATCTGCCGCTTTGACTAGGTTTAACTGGAACTATAAAAGCAACTTAATTTGTTGATGAACTCTTACAAACATTCATTTAGCAATATATTCTTCGAATTACTTCTCGCAATCCTTCATATAAGTTCGTCTGAAATTATTTTCAAATCCAGACATCAAACTGTTTTTTTTTGCTCCAATCATTAACACCTTTATTACAGAGCTAATTATTCTCGTTAATATTCAGATATACTCTCTAAACCA